ACTTATGGGACACAAAGGAAGTCACCTCCTGTTTACATCAGAAATGCCAGAAGTGGGGAAGTAGAGGTCACCGGGGTCTAGAACTGACAGAAAGTGGGTGTTGGGAGGGAGAGAGACCCTGGTAGCCYGAGGTGAATGGAGCTTGAGAAAGTGGTAATTGCAAATGCTGATGTGGTGATTTCCTTTTCTGAGAGGGCATGCTRAAGAGAAGTTTGGAGTCTTCATGCCCACTCTTTGCATTCCTCCTGGAAACACCTGGGGAAATGTGGAGAGGTCAGGACACTTTAAAGGAAAGGAAGGAGAAGATGGAAGCAGGAGTATGTGTGGGATGAGAGGAGTGTACAAAGGCAGAGATGCTAAGGCTCAGCCCACAATTATTAGTGGGGTGGACTTGGAAAGGACTCTAGTTGAAAATTCAGTTTGGAGATACAACCTGATATGCATATTTATTCTGGAAGAACAGCTATTAGCAAAGAAAAATAGAGATTCTGCCCTTAGTCTTTCAKGAGCTGCTTAGTTAGAATGTAGGCATAGCTGCTCCAAGGGCACTGAAGCTTTGCCTGAGGAAAAACCCAGAGCCCAGATGTTGCTTTAACTGGAGTATTTTGCCATGCTCATTTGCAGTGACAAGATTCCTATGAGTTGTCCCTGTGCCTGATACTTAACTCTTAATGTAACTAATTTGTGTTGCTCAAATTTCACAGATAAAATGTGAGAAATCTGTTTTTCTCTGCAGCATCCCCCCCTCCTTTTTGGCTTTGTGTGCGTTCTCTGTCCCTCTCCCCTGCCAGTTCCAGTAATCCAGGCGTTTATATGCCTCATTAAGCACATCACACTCTCTGCAGTGCCAATGTAATCAAGTCCASTGTCTTCCTTCTGTGCACTCCAAGGACAGAGGGATTGGGCCTCTTGCTCAAGGCCCAGAAGAAGCAAAATGAGTTGGCATGTTGAGGGAAAGAAACAGAGTGGTAAGCAAGCTGATTCCAGCCACCCCTTTTTTTGCACATAGTTCTGGCAAGACTTGAAGGTGCCAGGGCTCTAGGTGGGCCGACAGTGGCTGAACCCACTCAATAAAGCTAAGGAACACTTGGAGCAAGCTCCTTTTCAAGAGCACAGGGGGCATGCCATCATCTCCAAGGTTATGGATCGCAGCTATGGAGGTCTGTCCCTCATCCTGCATCCTTAGTGCTTCAGTCTCAGGGAAGCATCTAGAAACCYAAAGGTAAATTGGGTGTTCTTGTTCTTTTCTTATATTTCAAAAACAACTGAGAAACAAACAGCATGAAGGCTTGTCTACCAGGGTCAGACCAGAATTCAGTCCTTCTCTCTATAGAAGCTGGTCTTTCTCTGCATTCTGTTGCCTCTGCACAACCTTTGGTTGCCTGGGGCTGAGGAAAGTGGGTGTCTAATTCGATACTTGAGCTGAATTCTACCTGGGCAACAGTCCTGTCTCTGTGGCTCTGTGCCAGGTAGTAATTGGTGTGATGAGGAAGAAGTGGTTCATGCAGATGCCAAACACTGGCTGATTTTTGGTGATCACCCACATGCTGTGTTGCTATTCACTTTTCCTAATCATTTCCTGTTTCAACCCATTCACCCACCCATTGTTGCCATAATCTTCTATATTTTTTGTTCCTTTGAAATTGCTTTTGTCCTATTTTTATTTTTTCTTTGCACGTAGGTGCAGAAATATACAAAGGGTATGTATGAGGGAAGCATGTTTTGCTGGAACCTATAGGGACATAGTTCAAGGGGCTTCTCAAAATATGGACTTACAGATTGTGAGGTAAATACAAATGAATACCTGGGAATAGTGTGTGTGTTTAGATAATATGAACATATGAATTTTAAATGTAAAATTTGTCTTTCAGCAGAATGAGTAGATTAGAGAAGGGAGAATTTTGCACAAGAGTAGAATCCAAGCAAATGGCTTATTTTTATGGGGTTCCATCCAGATCATCTACCATATCCATGATGGGTTGCCAAGCGTTAAGAATTAGTTTGGAAGTGTAGTAAAGCCCTCAGGTACTGAAATTAGAGTGTATGGTTGCAAATCACAGCTCATGTGCTTATAAATCAGTGAGATTGAGTTATCTGCCTCACCTCTCAATTTCCTGTGTACAAAATCTGGATAAATATGGTATTTATAGACTCATTCAGTGAGACAAACCATGTAAAATAGTTAGTTCAGTGGTGCTATACATAGTAAGTAGTTTGTGGCTATCATTAGCTGTAATTATGAGGCATTGAGCACTTGGATGAACAATCGTGGTCAGCAGAAAGGTGGGCTGGCTGGACACTATTACTCTGATCTTGTGCTGCATCTACTGCTACTCAATCCTAGCATGAGAGAATTAGTATGTGTGAGTTCCACAGAAGACATTTTACACAGAAGGCTTTTACTGATGCAAATACCAGGCCATCTGAGACTGACTTTCTTCAAGTCACTCAGCCAGCAAACAGCAGAGCCTGATCTTAAAGACTCTCTGAGAACTATTTCCCTATAGCATCCTGTCACATTTCATTCCTGGCCACTGAACTTTGGGCATCAGGAGCACAACTTTTTTTTTATTTTAGCATATTCGTGCATTCTTTCAGTCACAAAACTTTCTTGACCAGCTACTGTGTGTGGGTCTCTGTGTTGGATTCTAGGGATCAAGCCAGATATGGTCCCTAGTTCATGAAGCTTATAAGCTAAATGGGAAGAAGGACTTTAAATGAATACAATAGTTAAAACAAAAGCAAAATTGCAAGGAGAGGATTATGCCCCAGAAACAAGGAGCCTATATATTTGTCACACACAGGCAGAAACAAAGTATGGGAGTGTGTAYAGTGGGGAAAACTGATTTAAGAAAGGTCAGGGAAGGCTTTCCTCAGGAACAGGTGATGACAGGTAAGTGGATCCTATCAGGTGAAGTGAGACAGAGTGAACATTAGGGACTGGAGTGTGCTGTAACTGAAGGTCAAAGGAGATGGAAGAAAGGAAAGCAGGTACAGGAATGGAAGCATGAGCCATGACAGAGAGGCACATACCAAGGGGATTCACAGTACCTAGCAGGTATGCAACAGTTTTCAGTTGGCCACATCTTATGAGTATTATCCTACTGACATTTCATAGTGACACTCTTTTATAAGCAGGCCAAGAGAGCATCATCCCAGTTTCAGCTCTACAAACTGAGACCTACCGTCTTTGTGTGTTGTCAAAGTCACACACCTAAACCTATCTTGGGGTGCCCTCATTTACCCACCTCATCAGCCTTTTAAAGCAAGCATTAAAATCCCAATGGTATATATGAGGTAAGAAATCTTCATCAAGTATGCAACTGACATGTGGCTGAACTGAGATGTAAATCTATGTCTTTGCTACAAACTGAATTTCATCCATCCCTCCAGAATTCTTAGGTTGAACCTCTAACACTCAGTGTGATTGTATTAGGAGATGGAGCATATAAGAAGGTGTTTTAGGTTAAGTGAAGTCATTGGAAAAACCCTGATCCAATACTATTAGTATCCTTATAAGAAAAGACACTAGTAAGTTTCTCTCCACTCCTATTCCCTCATAAAAACTCATCAGAAAGGCTACATAAGGAAACGGCAACAGGTGACAAGCCATGAAGCAAGCCCTTACTCAAAAGGAACTGACCGAACTCACATCTTGGATTTCTAACCTCTAGAATTATTAAAAAAAAAAGTGGTCTATAATTTAAGTCACCCAATCTGTGTCATTTTATTACAGCAGCCTGAGAAGATTCATATGGTCTTAGTATACATTGACTATTGTTATCTGCTATTACACATCTCTTTCCTTAACAGAAGAGAGACGAGAATTCAAGTCGTCTGTTTGTGGGTCCTAGGCCCTTCCATTGTCTGTTTTCTCTGCTACTGACAACCTTAAGAACTGAAGACGTAAGTTAAGTCACAGGCAGGACAGCACCCTAATTCTGCTCTTTACCTGCAGTGTCCTCAAGACTAAGGGATGTACAGTGAAGGTAATTAAGGTGTGACAGGCTATGTTAGTCTGTGATTGTCCTGGATACAGAGTTGTGAGAAGTGACAGTTGYAGAGCTGATTTTAGGTCTCTAAGATTCAAATGTTATCACTTTCCAAGTGATAAGCCCTACTTAGAAAAGTAGGGCTTTGAGTTTTCCATCTCTGGAAGAAGAGCTGGGCATTAACTGCTGCCTTTTCCAAATATACAATGGGTGTGTGTTGTGTGTGTGTGTGTGTGTGTGTGTGAATGTGTATGTGTGTGTGTGTGTGTRTRTGTGTGTGTGTGTGTGTGTGTGTGTTTCTCTCTCCCCCCAGTTATCATTGCTGGGTAAATACTCAAGTACTTAATAAAGGATTTGAGTTTTACATCTGATTTTGTGCCTATTCCTTAGCTACATGCTTCAGTCTTTAGTGTCACACAACCTCTTTGGTCCTCCTTTTTCTTATCTGTAAAATGGTGTTAATAACCTGTTTTATGCTACTGGATTGATGCCTAAAAACTAGTAAATATTTGGCAAATAGTAGGTATAATATTCATATACTTCTATTTTAAAATAAAATTTTATAACTAAGTCAGTATCACTCTTTGCTTTGGGCTAAAAGAATGAAACATTCATACTAGGGTGACTTCTCCTTAAAGACAGTCATCTAATAATCCATTTGGCTGGGTTCCTCTTGAAACTTCTGTATGCAGAAATACTCCTTCTTGTTAGAGGCAACCAAGTAGAAGTTTATTATTTGGGGCTGAAACCACTTCCCCTGAGATTTATAATGATATTCTACAGCTGTGTGTGTGTGTGTGTGTGTGTGTGTGTGTGTGTGTGTGTGAAAGCCATGATGTTCTACATGCTTGTTATCTAAACTGTGCAAACCATACCCCTTGAAGTCTATCCACTATGGAGAAGTACATCAGGGAGGGGGAGCAGGCAAGCCTATCTTTGAAGAAGGCTTATATACAAAAGCATAAGCATTCAGGCAGGCAGAGGAAGGAAGGAACATGCTGTACCCACCTGCCACTGCTGATGAGGGGCTTATTTCTAAGACACACACAGCACAATGCACACACAATGCAGAGAGAAAACAAAGACATAGATCACACATTTCAGATGGTTGGTGGACAAAGTTTAGTTCATCTCAATGCTGAAAGCTTGTTCAGGGTCTGAGATGCACATGGAAATATGGATCCCTCCTCATCCTACTTACTGGATGCTTCCCTCTAACTAAACCACAGCAAAAAACACATACATACACAAGTTAAAAAAAAATGAAAAAAAAGAAAGAAAAAAACCACACACACACACACACACACACACACACACACACAAATAAGCTGGCCCTGGCCCATGGTGCGAAATGTCAGACAAGAATATGCACACAGCAGGGTGGGAATATGGAGTGAAGAAAGGAAAGGGCTTCTAGAAGTCCAGTCATGGCTCCTGAGACCTAGTTCCTCTGAAGTACTTCTGTCCTATGGGAGAAACGACTTCAGAGGAGGGCCTCATGCTGGAGTTGTGAATGGAGCAGTCATCTGGTGAGGACTCAGACCTCTGCTCCATTCATCTCAGTGAATGAGAATATGGCACAGCAATCAACATGAGAATCAAGATGGCAGCAGTTGACTTAGTTTAACACCATAAATGAAAACTCCAGAATCACAGACTTTTATTGTAGAAGGTATCGGATCTTAAAATTACATCTGGTTCGTCCATGCGGAACTTAACAAGGTAGTTCAGTTGAACTGTCTGTGGTTGTCTTCTTTATGGGTTCCACATTCAAATGGATTCGAAATTTGGTTTAGTCCTTTAAAAAGGAACAAACTTTGCCTTTCAATGATCAGGAGAATGAATTACTTTGCAAACACCACCGTATCACATGCCAGGGAAATGACAGGGAGAAGGAGTTCTTAGCTAAGGGTGGTGATTTGAGTAGTATGGATGGACACAAGCCAAGCAGATCATGTTGTCCTCCCTCCTGGGTCCCTGGAGCTCCCCCATGTGGCTGAGCCCATTGCATCCAGGCGTTCTGCACTCACCATACAATGTGATGCTGGCATTGGTATTCCCAAGCTTGTTTGTGGCCACACAAGTATAGTTTCCATAATCCTTCTCTGAGACATTGAAGAAAGTCAGAGTGGATATGCGGCCTTTGTTCTCAATCCTCACTCCATCCAGGCCAGTGGCTAATCTGAAATAAGAGAAGGTACTGCTGGTCTGGTCCCACCAAAGGAAGGAAACAGCAGTGGGCACTGAGAGAATGCAAAGACCTCATACATTAATTCTGTAAARAGGCTTTCTTTCCCAAAACCCTTTTCTCTAACTAACCAAATCCCTCCAACTCAAACCCTAAGTACCACGGACTCCACCAAGAGGAAAAATGAAAGGATAAGCCCACTCAACACTCAAAATGTTTTGATTTCTAGTCATCAGAGACTACCACATCTAAAACTCATCCCAGATTCTGAAACGAGATCAGTTCATTTTGTCTCTTTCCAGCTTTACTTCATTTTTATTCTCCTAGTTCTAAACAGAGACTCTGTCACTAAGGAGGCTGTAACACATTTTGGTTTTGCCTTATCTTTCTCCTGTACTTTATCATCTTCCTTCCATGTGAGGAATGGTCCATCAAATGTGCTTCAGAGCTGCCCTAGTTCAGAGGTACCTGGTGTCTTCCTTGAACCACTGGAATTCAGCCATCGGGACCGCAGAGGCTTCACAGCTCAGGATGCCCTTCTGACCAACCGAAACACCAGTATTCTTGGCTTTTGAGATATAGGGAGGGTCTGTGGACAAAATAAACAAGGAAACAAACAACAAAACCATACAGAGTGATTCCAGTGAAAGATGAGAGGCATGTCCAGCCATTTGCTGTGTCTGGTGACACAATTCCTTCCCAGTAAAATAACCAGAGAAAGAACTCCCTGTAAGACACTGTGATGACAACAGCATCTTCTTCTGGCCTTCAGACCAAGTCTACATTAGCAGTTGTCTCCACTGGCTGAGAGCTCTGAGGGTCTCAGGACGACTCCATGGACAGATGGCAATGGAGGCAAGAATGGGGCAAAGCCATCTGTAAAGAATCTTCCTGTTGGCAGCCCCTCGAATGTGGGTCTCTCTGCAAATGGTACTGCCATTCCCTCTTCTCCCCTCATCTCTATTCCCTCTCCTTCCCCCGAATTCTCGGACAGCGGGTCAACTCACAGTTTACAGTGATTTTTACTTTCCGCACATCGGGTGCGGCAACATCATTCAAGGCGCTGCATTCATACTCCCCAGACTGGTCCCGCTTAATGTCAGAGATCTCCAGGTACTCATCCTCACTCACAAAGCCCTGGCCTTCTGGGGAGAAAGAGATAGAAAACAATAGAGAGACCGTTAAACCAGGAACAGAGCCACAGTAGATAGAACAGTTATGGTCGTGACCAGTGGGTTTGAACAGCCCATCAATGATATAGGGAGGGCACTGTGAAGAGAGAAATTTCCTGCCTGAGTCTTGGATCAATGTTCTTTCAGCCAAGTCACTTTAACTTTTTAAAGACATTTGATAAAAAAGGCATATCAACATTTTTCTTACATGTATCATGTATTATGAGGATTAAGGATATACATAATAAATATCCTACCGCATTAAAAAAATTAGAGAATTGTCATGATGAATAATATTATAAAACATGTGGAATAACTTTAATTTATGTTATATGAKCAATATGCTAATTTTGCACTATGTAGAGATGTCTTTATATATAGAACACAAGCTATTAACTACTTCCAGAACAAATAAGTGAATATTTTACATTTTAAGACAAATAAAATAAAAACTACTGGTTTAGTTTCAAACTGAGGTAGAGAATAACTAGCTTGATTGAGGCATTTTACAATTAATATGTATTTTAAAGCATCATGTTGTATACAATAAATAAATACAATTTTTWTTTATCCAATAAAAAATAAAACATTTAAAAACTGGTAAGGAAGAAAGAGTGAAGAATAACTGAATGAGAAAGCACCATGTGACTACTATGTATTAGAGTCTCAATAGCATTTGCAAACATAAATAAATGGTAGTTAGCTTCAAATGATAAATCTGTGGTTACTAAAACAGCCTAGGTATTTTAATACCTGATTTTGAACGCATTTGGGAGTTCTCCTTCTCAAACACTTGTGAAATTTGAAACTCATGATTCAAAATATTTGAGTACTGCAAAATTTGCTTTGCTTTCATCCATCATCACATGCTCTTGTGACAGCCTGGCTCCTCCCCCTTTCTCATTATCCCATTCCCTATAGTTCAGTGTTAGAGAAGAGCCCCTATGTCAAATTTTCTGAACTCTGTTGAAACATCTGACTGTGGTGAAAACCCAGCCAGCAGGAAGGTCAAGAAGGCACAGCCATCTTCTTTTCTCATATACCTGCTACTTGGTTCCTTTTGAGCTCAGGGCAATTGAAACTCTTTATAACTTTCCCCAATACCCTATAGGGTTATATTCTTGCCACCGGTGCTTATTCAACCATATCTAGGTCCAGCCCAGGTGTCTGTGGAGAGGAGCTAATGGTGGGGTTGGAACTCAGRTGCTTTGGCACCCTGACTCTGCTATAAGTCCAAGCTTTGAGGACCTCCCACCTCTCACTGTGCCCAYATCCCCAGCTCATTTGCTCTTTGGCACTTGGGGACTACCCATCTCCATCCCCTACCTTAGATCATATMTATCTAGGATGAAATGTCAGTCTTTGGATGTTGTTGGCAAAGTCATTGCTAAAAGGTATGGTACACCAGGAAAATATTTTTTTTTCAGGGCTCCTATCTATATAAAAATAGAAGTCATCACCACAAACACTACTTTTCTTTTTAAAAAAAATATTTTTAGTTGTAGATAGACATAATACCTTTATTTTTATTTATTTATTTATTTTGTATGTGGTGCTGAGGATAGAACCCAGTGCTTCACATGTGCTAGGCAAGCACTTTACCACTGAGCCATGACCACAGTCCCCCATCAGTTCTTTTCTGATAGCTCAATCCCACATAATTTCATGGGGAAATATTACAGTAACCCAAAGGAATTTGTCACACCACCTTTCTAGAACCTGCACCTGGTGACAAGGCTCCAAGAACTACATGGGTATGATGTTCAGAGTCAATGGGGAACCTGGAAGAAACCATGCGAAGAGTGTCTGCCAGGTGCTGAAGAATGTCTGAAGAGTGTCTCCCAAGGGGGATAGAGTGACTTCACACTCCCGACCTAGCATGGGCATGCCTCCCTGAATGTTATCGCTCACCCCACCTATCCCTAGGGGTGAGAGAAGAGCTTATAACATTTTGCAGAAGAGCATCAGGATGTGGTACCTCCAGGGACCTGAAAGCGGGCCCCATTTGCTGAGATCTCAGGACAGTGTTGCTACTCAAGGACTCCTACCCCAACAGCCATTCTGTTACCAGACTAGATCATATTCAGTCTCCTCAAGGTTAATCAGAGAAATGCAAGCACCTTCTCATCCTTTTTTCCCCCTTGTTTTTCCTCTTAGAATCTCAGAGTTAAGGGGATTCAGAGAGTATTTATTTTGGAAAGTCTAACAAAGATAAAACTTACCTTTCCTTTTGGAACAATGCTGGCTGATCAATGTGAGCATTTTCAAGGATGAAGCAACAATAAAATCAAACACCAAAATGAATTTCCAGTCTCACTTCACTGTTTCTACAATGAATAACAATGGCAGAATGGGAATTCTGGTCTCCTCCTCCTAAGACTCCATTATTCTTTGAAAATATACCATAGAGTATTTGTTAGAAGTAACTGGACCACACTGCATTTACTCCAACAAATGAGCTATCTGCCCTGGACCTGGCAGGAACCTCCAGCAGAGTCACTGTTTCCCCTTCCTTGGGGAGAACAAGAAAGACCCACTCATGCTGCACAGTRGACACTGGCCATATGGATAAAAGCTCCCCAAAAAGCATCATCCATGTATGCCAATTAACTGAGAAATGTGTGCAAATCAACTGAGAAGTGCTGACTCACATAAAGGCATTGGGTGGCTTCAAAGAAGGAAGAGGCCATGAGCATTTGTATGAGTAGGACRGATCCTGGGTCCTTTGTGGAGAATTACCAGACAACATGACCAGTCTCTGGAATGTGGGAACTTATTTTYATTTGCCGCAATGCTGCTTTTATGGGATGGATATGTGACAGCAAAAAAAGGAAGGAAAAAAAAATACATTTCATGCGAAATGGGGATCGTTATGATAATACTACCTCATTAAGCGAGAAAACGAATTTTGTCAAGTTTGTCCGATAAAGTAAGTGCTTCTCAGATTTTAATTTGCATATAAATTCCTCAGGGAYTTTTTAGAAGTATAGATTCTGATTCAGTTGGTCTGAAGCGGGGTATGGGATTCTGCATTTCCAGCAAGTGTGCAGGTGCTGCTCCTGTTGCTGTGCGGGAGACCATACTGAGCACAGACATCATCAGGCAGCACACAGGACTGGACACTGGTTCACTCTTACTCACGCACTCACAATTAGATAGGTCTATGTGGTTGTTTGGATCCTAAATGTCACCTAAAGGCCCACGTGGTGGATGCTTGATCCCCWATTAGAGCTGTTTAGGAGATGGTAGAAACTCAAAGAGGTGGGACCTGATTGGAGATCAGGAGAGATGTGTCCTCAAAGAGGATAGTGGGATCCTGGCCCCTTTTCCTCTTTCATCTCTCTCTTCCTTTCTGTTTCTTGACTATGAAATTGAGTGGTCTTCCTCTGTCACATGCTCCCACCATGATATGCTGCCTCACCATAGGAACAAAAACAACAGGGACAACCAATCATGGATAGGACCCTCTAAAAATGGTGAGCCAAAATAACCTTTTTGTCTTAAAAASTTGAGTACCTTGGGTCATTGGTCATAGTAACAGGAAGCTGACTAATATAGTCTATAAAGGGCATCTGGTTAAGAAAATACACTGAGCACCCCTCATACTGAGATTCCCGTGGAGTTTGCATCTCAAGAGACACACTAATTTAGGAGGTCAGGGCTCAGAAGATACACTGAGGACAGGAATCAAGACATTTGAAAATAAACGTTGGGGGCTGGGGATGTGGCTCAAGTGGTAGCGCGCTAGCCTGGCATGCGTGCGGCCCGGGTTCGATCCTCAGCACCACATACCAACAAAGATGTTGTGTCCGCTGAGAACTAAAAAAATAAATATTAAAAATTCTCTCACTCTCTCTCCTCTCTCACTCTCTCTTTAAAAAAAAATGAAAATAAMCGTTGCATTGATTCTTTGTGCTTAGAAATAGACAAACAAAATCCCCCATGAACACAGACTCCTTTCCTGGAAAACAGGAAAAGGCCCASCAAAGGAGACTTATATGTTCTTAACTATTTTCAACGCTTGGCAAAATATTTGAAGCACAACCAATCTAGGTTGCTAAATRCCTGGAGACCTAGGAGACCAAGAAGCTGGATGCTTGCTCTGTCCTCTCTGATTCTGGCTGCAGTATGAAATTTTGATTCCATGCTGCAGAGAAGGAGGTAGAAGTAAACCAGTGTTTGAATCCCCTTTGCTAGCTTCCAGGAAGCATCATTGCTAACTATGGAGTTACAGGTAGATATATGGGGCTGGGAGAAACATCTGAGAGAATCACAGGGGATGAAGAAGACAGGAGGAGAAGGAAGAATTTGTTGGAGTGAAAATGGGGAGAATGACAGCTGGGATAGGCAAGATGGCCCAGGTAGCCACCAGAAGATTCTGGGCACTCATTTAAAAGGGATTATTTTAAAGGCTACAAGACTATAGTGTGTGTGTGTGTGTGTGTGTGTGTGTGTGTGTGTGTGTACCATGTCTGCCCAGAGTTTCTCCTTATGGTGCAATGTCCTGTAATAAGCCAATAACCCAGAGGTATTATGAACCTGCCCTAAGCATCCAGGCATCTCACATAACATGACTGAAAGCAACAGAAAGCTTATTCTGAATGAGTAGCATAAATGCAGGGGGAAAATGGGGGATGGGATGGTGATTGCCTTCCAAGGAAAGAGCACTTCAAAAAAAGATAAGTTCAATTCATTATATAAATGAGATTAAGATCTGCAAGGATACAAATAGTGCCATTTATCAGGGGATGTGGGAGGTCGGCCTCTCAGATATAGTAAGCATGCGTGGGGGAGGGTGAGCAAACTTGTGGATGCACAGTCACAGAATACAAAGAATATGCAACAGCCACAGTCAGGAACTGCTCCGTCTTACAGTGCAGGAGCAGACAGAGAAACTGGGTGAGAAAGAGAAGTCATTTAATTGATACCTGTTATGAGCAAGGTGTTGTGTTGGACACTTTGGGTGGTGGAGA